CCCTGCCGAGCCGCCTCTCTTCGCCATTCGAAGTACTACCTCTGCCTTCCCTTTCTATAACATACCCAGGCTTCCAATCACTAAGAAAAAATCAATACCAATCAAATCAAAGGCTGACTTCGTCTGTGATTTTTCCGGCCCCAGGGGAGTTTACTCGACCCATTCCCCAGTCTCCCGCACTGCTCAAGGTTGTGTGCGACTCCGTATGAGGACCTCCTTCCCTTCTGCCCACTCTCCGTTCACACGGTTCTCAAAGCAGAGGAGGAAGGGTGGGCAGCAGGTACCACGAGCCCTCTGTCCCACACATCTATCCAGAAGCAAGTGTAGTTCACCGGTTCCACCGAATGCTCCTATCTCTCGGCAAAGATCGTGTGAGTGTGCAGTTATGCTTCGGATGCTTCGCCATAGAATAGATCGACCCAGTTCCCGTTCTTTTCCGGTGCACTCGCTTTGTATCTCCGACACACAAGGAAGGACGCGGTGGGAAGGAAGCAGCCCTAGCCTCTGTCCGGCCGATCATTCCGCTGGCATCTCGCATTCACGCCCCCGTTTGACTGCCGCTCGGGGATGTAGTTGTAGATACGTTAGTCTTAGTGGGTCGTTGGCTCCACCTGTTATCTCCTTCTACGACATGCTGTTGTCGTCGCCATATTTATTCCATATGTCACTTAGTCATCTCTGCCTCGCTGCGGGTCAGCACCTCCGAAAGAAACGGAGGACTTCATTCAGTGACTCCGCGATCGCCCTCTGAACGATCAGAATAAGGTAAAGCTTGAAGATAAGTTTTGTACTCTATTAATTTCTCAGTCCCTCTAGTCGGGTGGGCGCCGGCCGGTCTTTCGGCCAGATCCCCCTAAAAACCGTACGTGCGGGTCTCCCCGCATGCGGCTCACGCCATTCGAGGTGGCCCAGCCCAGCATTCATTCGCAAATCCTGTAGTGAAATTGAGACTGCTCGACCTCGGAAGCTAATTCGCGTGTAGGCAGCGCTGTCTGTCGTACCGTTGACTCTATCTATTCATTGATCCAGCAAGATACGGCGAAGCCAACAAGCGAGAAAACGTAAGGATTGGTACCCAGCAAGAAAACGGCTGCGCGTTAGCGCAGCCGTTTTCTTGCTGGGGCGCGAAAGCATGCGAAGAAAGCTGCAAACGGTGCATGCGCCCTAACCTAATAGGGGCGCGCTAGCGCCCAACCTAGGTTAGGGGCTTTCGAGCCAGCAAGCAACGGCGCCGCTCGATCTAGCGCGCTAGCTTTAGCATCCGTTTTGAATCATGCTGTTAGCGCAGCCGTTTTCTTGCAGGGCGCTAGCGCGCCCTGTAGTTTTC